GGAATCTGAATGAATTGAAACGCTCAGCTGTCAATTAAGGTAGATGTCGGGGAGAATGAAATTCTGGGGATTCATAAAACTGGTGTAGAGCCGCATTTCTCAACCGGTTGCAAAATGCGTCCATTTGCAAAATGCGGCATTACAAAATTTTTGCAGGTGAATGCATTTTGCAACTGCAACGCATTTTGCAACCTAAGAAAATCGTGAAAACGCATTTTTTCAACCAGAACTCCGCACACACTCAGGAATCCTAGCATTCATCTGCTGTTGTGTCTTAATAAAAAAATGTTTATTACTGAAGAGCATTAATTAACATGTTTTTATGTTAAAGAACAACGGGACCTGGACCCTTGGACTAGGATTCCTGAGAGTATGGGGTCTTGAATGGGGATTTAATTAAACTGACCTATATTTCTCTGCATTTTCCTTCCTTCCTAACTCGAATACCGCCTTCAGATTCACTCATCGTACTAGCTGGATCTGTCCAACTCTGCAGGGAATCTGACTCAAGTGCAATTAATGGAATCAGCTTTATTGTCTGACAACCTACCAATCACCCCACCCCAAATTCCCATATAGCCCACTCATGCACCAAAGAGTCATGTTCCTTATTCGAATGGTCTAGGAAGAGATGGAATGAATTACGGTAAGGTATTAGTCAACTATCCCAAGGGATGGCTACATCCCAAGTCATCAAAAGTTATGATGTGCACAAGCACATCGCATTTCAATTTCTATAATATAAGGTCCAGCAGAAAATACGATTTAAAGATTACATCAACAACCTCCAGGGGCAGCCACACCCATATAGTCACAAAAAAGTAAGAAAAAAAAAAACGATGTGCCAATGCACACCCGACATTTCAGTTTCCTCAATCTCAAGACCTATGAGTATATAGCAGAAAATACAATGTAAAGATAATAATCAACCACCCCTAGGGACGGCAACACCCTATAGTCATAAAAAATCCGAAGGACACGTGCACATCCCTAATGGCAAGTTTAAATATCCCCCACGTCTCATGTTTCTTACTTTAATGGATAGGGGTAGATAACAGTAACAACGATATCAAAATATGCACTCCCCCCGAAAATAGCCTACTGCAAATTATGTCACACTAGCTAAAACTCAGAAGAGCCTCATTGGTTTCTTAATTCCCAATGTTTTAGCTTCTTAAAGATCTTCAGGTATAGACAGTAGAAATTACAATGTTAAAATTACAATCAATCGCCCTGTGGGACAACCACGCCCCGTAATTCAAACCGTTTCAGGGACTATAAAAAAACTGGTTGCAAAATGCATTGCAGTTGCAAAATACCTTCCCCTTAAAATGGCGCCAACCAGGAAGTAAAACTCTCTTAGAAAAAAATAATATCACGCGTCAATTTTCAATGTCCCAGAGCCCGAGATGGGCTACGTGTTTGCCTCAGAGGCTTTTACGAAAAATAGCATTCAAACACGTATATGTACTTGTAGTACTCACTGTTATTTATGTCAGTGGCAGCTACCTTCTCTTTCAGTTCTACGACGTACAAGTACTTTCTGTGTGGACTCGGTGCTGTTACTAAGGTAAATAACAGTCAGTAACAGCTCTTTAGTGAACTGTAGATATTTTTCCTAGTTATTTATGTCTATTGCTGCTGATAGGTCGACGTTCTGCACCCAACATCAACGTTTATCGTCTCTAGACAAATATTGGGGATCCGCCATATAGATAAACGTCCCAATAAAATATTCGTCCCGATAGATATGTCTGTATACATACACGTCTCAATAGATTTACGTCTCGTAAAATTTACGTTCCGATAGATCCACCAACAGATCCCTATTAACCCACGTATCTTTAAAACCGGGTACCGCTAGATCCTTCTATCTGACCTCGTAATTAATCGGCTAAAATGCCGATATCTACTTGACATACAGGTATGAGGCTTTCGAGTGATAGTCTGGCTGCGAGTACTGACCCACTTAGTGATCAGACTTAATTACAACCTAATATTTATAATTTATTTATTTATATATTTATTAGGTGTTCAAACAAGACATACATGTACGTCTACCATTAACTATCGTTTACTATCGTTTACTCCATTCCGCAATGTACGCACGTAACTTCATCAGTGTACAGGGGCGGATCCAGAGATATTTTCTGACAGTCTTTCAAATTATCTTTGTTGATCCATCTTCCATTTTTGACCGTCTTCCGACAGAAAACATTAGATGGCTGACAATGTAAACTTGAAAATCCGCCCCTGATGTAAACTACTTGGACATAATAACGACATAAATTCTTTATTTATATATACAGACGTAAATAACGCCGATTTTTGCCTGTGAACTTTGGACATGTTTGTCAACCATACAGTAATGGTTTCTATCAAATATACAAGACAGTTATCAGGCAGAATCATTCATGCAAATGCCCGAATAAATCATACACAGTATAAAATAAGAAGGGTTTACTTGTAAAACTCTTAACATTATTTCATCAATTTTTGCCGAGTTCTTAATTGACGGGGGTGGTGTGTATGTGTTTTCTGGGATTAATCGCTATGAAAAAATATATAATCTTAGGTTCCTGTCAGAATGTATACTTTGTTGAATTCTTATCATTCTTGTATTCTATTCAATAGATCAACAACACTTAAAGAGACAGATGCTACAAAAGTGTGCAGAAGTATTTTTTCACGATCAAATTAAAAACTATGTATATATCGCGGGTGTGACTTTCTAATGAGGCTATCTACCAGACTCTTCAGAAACAAGTTTTTAAAAAATAAATTTTTGTCTGCATAGGTTCCATGTACATGTTTTTAAGACTTACTGATAAAACTGACCTTGACTAAATATTTTTAGTTATCGTTTTTAATTGATAAATTAAAAATAACCACTCCATGTTTTTTTCAGCGGGGGAGGGGGGGGGTAATATATGACGTCACGAGCAGCAACTTGACCCGACTGACCGTCAAACAGCCCAGCAGACAGGTGTGGAGAACTGACCTGGGATTCTGTATACAATGTACGTGTATATGGGAATTAATTTCTGGGAATTCAGCCAGTATTTATTGACTCCATGAGCCCCTAAGGGGATTTAGGAGGGGGAGGTGTCAGGGGAGGCCTGATCCCTCCCCCCCCATTAGGTTTCTGAAAAACAGTCACACCAATAGTCCCCTCTTGAAATTAGAATTGTGACTAGCTGAATCATAGTTCTCAACTATAACAAATAGCACTGTTTGCCCTCCAAAAAAACAACATTTTCCAGAGCCCTTAAGTGGGCCCTTGAACCCTCGTCAAGGGGGGTGGTTGATGGTCATCTTCCCATGCAAGGCCTCTCCTTCCTAAAACAAACAAAAAGCCCATTCCACTCCTTCAAATAATCCTGCCAAGAGACATGTTTACCTTTTCAACTGATTGCATTCAGCAACAGTCCCCAACAAGTTGGATTGAATAACATGGACTGGTAGTTTCACTGGGAATGGGCCCTTCAACTAAATTTTTACTTTAAGAAAACTTGTACGTACATGGAATTTGCCACGAAAAAAAAAAAAAAACTCAAGTCAGTTTGTATAGTTTAAATTATTTATTAATTCCTTTATTTTCTTGCTGTACAAATCCTGTGGGGAGAACACTGGTCAAGTGGTATCCGTGACTTTAAATAAATACCAACCAAGTGGACACATGGACCAGTAACAAAAGTGATGAACAGAAAACTGTAGACATGCTCTTGCTAAGTTGTCACCATCCTGAATACATGTTGATCAAATATGATGTATAAAAATCCCAGTCTACTTATGACTTTGGGTAAATAATGATAAAATGTATATTGCGTCTTATCCATATACATCATGTACATTAACTTACCTAGTCTTATGAAAATAAAAGCATTTAAGACATCTAAACTGTCTTTTGTTTGGGAATTCAAAATAAATAAATAAATAAATAAATAACCAAACAGGCTTCAAAAATTAGTTTTTTTTACAAAATTATTTCAAGGACAGACAAGTTAACATCTTAGCACAGCATAATCCAAACCTTCACACAGCAGATGGAGTGGACTTTTTTTACACACTTTCCTAAAATCTAACCAATACTACTTCACTTGATCCATTTTCTAGAACAAACAAAGCCAGCTCTATATAACCTGTAGATATAGTTGTGACCAATTCTTGCAGTTCAAACCCCTCATGGCAAGACTTGATATCGGCATTTGAGCAACTATCAAAGGGTTTTTAGCACCTGAATGGAGCTGCAAGAAAGAGGAACCTGGGTGCTGCATGCCTTGACTTTATGACCAGTAACCAGATCTATCTCACTTTAGGACAGACAACATTGATAGATGATGGTTAATGACCACCGCCAAACAAAATCTAGAGGAAAATCAGCCCTAAAATTAAGCTGACGTGCTCTTTAAATAATGTACATTTTAAAACCAAAAATGTTATCTACCAAATATGTTTACAAAATGTTTCTGCTCCTAAGTGAACTTATCAAATGTTATTATTTGAGACTTTCATTCAACTGGCCAAAATGTATACAAGACTTGCTGACATAAATCTAACAATCTTTATATTTGAAGATCAATTTTTAACACATGGTAGATGGCATTAGACTTCCTCATAAATTTATGAATCCTAAACTTGATATAATTTCCTTCTACTTCTATATTTCCCAGTACATACATCTAGTCCACTCCATCTGTGCTATGTATTGTATAACAAAGAATTCATCCACTACAAACAGAGATATTTGTTTCATACTACAACTTGGGAACAACATGATACCACTACCTCTGGTACAGGGACAGTTTGACTGTGCTGTTTACCATGTATCCATGACAACCAGTGTTTTCATAGTATCCATGGCAACATACCCTAATAAATAAAGCCTGGTAATAATACTGATCTATGAGAATGTGCAGATTTTAGCAAATATGTCAGTTAAACACCAAAAGTTGCATCAAGAGGCCCCCAAATTAAAAAAAAAATCACGATACATGATCTATTTCTCAAATTCACTTTTTTATTTGTTCTACAATGGCTGAGGTAGCTCTGATCTTGGTTTGTGAACTGTTTCTTAATTAGGATACAAATATTGGGAACAAGAGATGGCTCAAAAACTCAATCAAATGTCAGTGCAGTTTATGTCAAATATGACTAGGTCTGTTTCTAAAAAAAAATTACTTCCCAATTTACTTCTCCACTTTGCAGGATGTGGTATATTAAGAGATAAGAAGTAAAACACTTCTCACGCCATGAGATTAGATTCTCTGAGGATTAGTGTTTCCCATATAACTATTTTCAGTTCGAGACATCCCAGCTATAAATTTGCTTTCTACGAAACAAGAAAAACTGCATCAACTTTAGGAAGTTATGGATTCTTGAATCTTTGAGCAATACTTTGGTTTGACTGGTTTAATATGAGCAATCATGTGCCATACAAACACACGCACACACACAAACACGCACGCACACATTAGATGGTAGACAAATCTATTACATGTCATAGATTGTAGTGATTAATAGGGAAATTAAAGAAATGTCTAGATCTTGTAACCTTGGTCATAACATAAATAACAAGTATTCAACAAGTTGTACCAGATAAAGTATTATGCTATACAATTGGCTAAACAATGCCAACTTTTATCCCCCAAAGCCAAATCAAAATATTGGTGTCTTAGGATTTTGTGATGCAACATATCATGATATGAAACAATACAACTAAGGTAATTTTTGACCTACTTCATAGAAATGCCACATCCACCATACATCCTTATATAGTATCTTTTAGAAGATCAAATTTAGCTCCCACCAACAAAAAATTATATTGCATGATTCATACACTGTACATAATATACAAGGAATACCTGTACAATATTTACATAACCTTGTCAAGTTAATTCATCACTATACACTTACACACACAAAGTGTGAAGAAAGAACACATGAAACAGAAATGCACTACAGTAATACCACTTACCCTTACTTTGTATGGGTATAAAAAAAAGAGAAAAACAACCAATTCACTTTAATAAGTAGTAAGATATAATAATAACTATACAATTGTGAGATTTGGCAAAGAAATGGGTTTCTTGATTTGCATAATGTTAAGTGAACAGTTAAGCAGCATGGCTGCCATAGCTGTGATCACATTGTGAACTTATTTCTCAAAAGAATAAATCCAGTCATCTTTCCACTGTGCATTCCTCTCCAGAACTTAACATACACAACTCTGTTTGCTAAACTCTGTCATCTCCTGTCCTGTGAGGCAGCGCCACCTTTTGTTTTGAAGAAGGTGATTTCAAACCAACCTCTGGAATGCTCCCTGCTGTTTCTAACGTTTCATCCATTGGATTCACATACAAGTGTCTATGGTGTTGTTGAGATGGAGAACTTAAAGTCCTTCCGCCATGTTGTCTGTGTTGTGACCTGCCCCCTATAGGAGGCGCTTGTCTTCCGCGATGGCGGCGTTCAGCACTATCAAAGTGTCTGTGATTGTGATTGTTTTCACTGGGGATGTCCCCAGAGTCTATATTATGATGTGAGCTGAGATGGCTGAGCTGAGGATGACTACTACTATTACTACTGGTATGGTGACTTGGTGACTTTGGAGAACTGGCACTGGATGAGTGATGATTGGGATGAACCTCAGAGTCTGGATACAGATCTGGAATGATTAACGTTATTTACATAAATACTAAACTTTTATCAATTCAAGCATCATAGGTATAAAAAAATCTGTCTAAATACTACCAAAGTCAACAGTTAAGTTACGAAATAATGACGACCTCACATAATCATAATGTTAACTGAGCATTTTTAAAATTATAAACAAATAAATAAATGCATTACCTTCATATGGTATTGGCAATGTGTGAGATGTGGTGTGAGAATTATGTCCAGGGACACATGAGTACTGTGGCAAGGAGGCAGTGTGGGGGGCAGGGGGCTCTGAAATTGAACACAAATATAAAGATGTGGTGTGAGAAGTATGTCCAGGGACACATGAGTACTGTGGCAAGGAGGAAAGGTTTAATTCAATATAATTCCAAATTACAAAATAATAATTATAATAATTAAAATGCAGGGCGTTTTTCCAGTAAGAACAAACTATTTTCCTTAAATCAGACCTATCTGTGTTCTATTAATCTCAACTAGTAACTCTACTGCTACATTTTGAAAAATGTTATTTATCTATAAACAAAGACAATAAACAATTGTAATGGCTTAGAAAATGTCATCCAAATGCTAAAAATACCTGGATTGTCTGTGGGTGACTTGGAGCAGTGATAACTATCTGCTGTTGATCTGGTGTGAGGCAGGGAGCTGGCGTTAAACCACTGCGGTGGCTGATGAATCATGGCCACTGGGCTTGGTGACCTGTCTCGGACCCCATTGTGATTGGCTAGTTTAGGATGAGGGTTAAAAGTTTGCAGAGAGTTCAGTCCAGTGCTGCTGGTGCTCCGTGTGCTGGGAGAGCTACTGTCTGACGCACTGCTTGGCAGAGATAAACTGTTGATACTGTGCTCTGTGGAAAACAGAAAAAATAATGTTTTATATCTCCACAGGATAACATGAAAGTTACTTTTTCTATTCTATTTTTTTTCTATTTAAGACAGGTATCAATTTGTAATTTCGGCTCGCCCCAGAATATACCTCACATGAGGTTTCTAACCCTAAAGCTTGAATGGTCCTTATTGAGGCAGATAAAATATCAGATACATTTGGTTTAAATTGTCTTCACAATTTTTAACCAATCTTAAAAATGTAAAAATAGGTTAAAAAATCTTTTAAATTGTCTCAGTACAAACCTGACTCTGCAGCCGGCTGGTGTTCATCACAAGTCAGCGGCACTGACTGTTTTAGATCGTCATCCTCCACATCACTTGGAAAGATGGCTGCCGTGCGCCCACACTCCGCCTTGGCGTACCGGGGGTGTGACTGGAACATGGGTAACACATGTCCCTGATACTCCAGGAACTGGTCTGACTTTGAGCTTTCCCGTTCCTCATCTGATGGATTATATGGTGTCAAGTCACCAGGTAAAGTTGTCTCATCTGTAAAGGTTATAATATTTTATTAAGGATCCAGCAGAAAAAAAAAAATCATCAGCTGTGTTATGCATTCAAAATTACAATATTCCGTTTTTCCATCAGTATTAGCACACCTAAAGCCACGTTTTTGTGTGACACTGAAATATTGCAGTGGTAATAAAAACTTATAGCTGTTTTTGTATTATTATAACTTTATATAAAGGAAGTTTCATTTAATGAAATATAGTGCATTCAGACTTTCTCAATGACAAGTTTTTAGTAGCTCTCCAACTTCCTCAAGCAGCATCCCACTGTGAGATATTTTTCACCCCCCTATCCATCCAATACTGATAAAGAACTGAACAGACATCTTCATCTAATAAAACAATAAAGGAATATCATATCACATGTTCTCACCTGTAGGTGTACTGCTGTATGTGTCACTCCTCTTCCTGGTCTGATAAATAATGATCACCCAGACCAAGGACGTTCCCACCACGCAGCACACCACAGCTATTATTATAATCCCTGTCGTTGTGGACTCGTCATCCAATCCACCGCCATTGTTTCCACGTGAGGGGGACTCCAAATTGATAACAGTCAGCTGGGACGTCCCTCTCTCCATCCCCAGAGTGTTGGACATCTCACACGTATACCTCCCGGCATCCTCTGGCCGTGTCTGGACAATGACCAGTAACTGGTCGTTGGCTGTAAAGAAATGGCGTTCCGTCACCCCCAGCGGTTTATCGTTCTTGAGCCAGGTCAGTTTGGGTTTGGGACTCCCTGCAGCCAGGCATTCCAGGACAGTGGTCTCCCCAACCTTAGTCTGCTTGTCCTCCATTGGTTTGACAAAAGACGGATTTTCTGAAGAGGAATTACAACTTATAATCTTACAGTTCTCCAAATACACCCAAACTTCTGTGTAGGTGCCACTCTAACTTCAAGAATAACACTTCAAGACAAATGTAAGAATGAACAAATTAGACCTAGATTAATCAAAAAATGGTGTAACTAATAACAAATTAAGTCCAGAGCTGAATTTAATTCACAAAAAAAGCGTGAATATCGAACTCTACCCACCAAACACTGTCAGCGTGGCATTAGCGATGATAGTTCCGGCTCCATTCCTGGCCATGCAACTGTACAACCCTTGGTCCAAACTGCTCACTTTCAAGATAAAGAACACGTCGTCCTCTCTAGCAAACATCATGCGCCGTTCACGTGCAGCAGGGAAGTCCTCACCCCCATCTTTCTGCCAGAACACCTCTGGTTGTGGCTCTCCGTGTGCTGCACACTCCAGTCTGGCTGTTTTTCCCGCCTT